TGTTTCGGCTGCCTAGCATGAGATATAATTATCTCTTGGATAATTATATCTGTATATCAACATGTTTCAGCCAATGGGTTAAGCATTTTATGTGTCATTTGTTCCTCAAAAGAACACTTTATGATAGATATTATTGTAGCCATTTTAAAATGAGGCATTCAAGGAACTGGATAAGAAAGTTTCCTAAACTCTCACAGCCGCAGCGAGTAGCGGGTAGGGCTAGGATTGTCGTGCCTCTCAAAGCTGGTATGCTTCCCATCAGCCTTCTGCCGCCTCTGGGCTGGCTGCTTAATTGGGGCTGGATCACATACAATCTCTCGCCTTGTTTTTCCTTCTCATTCATCAGGTCTGTCTCCCTACAATATTTTAACACCTCAAGGACAGGAACATTTTTTGGCATCTCAATTCTTAGCTTGTCTGCGATAATGATGATCACATCCTACAAAAATTTCAGTTTTGCGAAGCAGACTTTCTCACTATCTTTTTGCTCTGTTTTCAACTCAAGTGAAATCCAACATCCACCACCACCACATCAACCACCACCAACTTCTGTCCTAGCCTGCTCTTCACCTCCTATTCTCCCTTGGATCTTTGAGATGTATTTTCAGCACCCATTTATGCTTTATACCTGGATTTTCTTGTTTCTTATTTTACAGGTTGCTGGCATATTTTGTGAGTGCATTTTGCATATTGTCAATCTGCCACATTGGAACATCATTTTCACACTGACTTCAAAAATATCTCGAATTTTTATTGTTTTAATGTAGGTGAGGCATTTTCATCTGCACAGACGTGTATATCAACTAGATTCAAGGGCAAAATTTTTTCAAGACTTGATGCTTTTGTACATTTTATGTACGTAGAATTTTTAAATAAGTGGCTTAATTGCATTCATAATCTACTCAGTTATTACAGTTTTTCTTTGGAATTCAAATGACTTAACATAGGACCTCATTATGTGAGTAGCTGTTCCTTTAAGAACTCCCTTTTTTTAAATGAACAAGGTGGAAAGAGCTTCAAAATAGTTGGAAGAGGATACAAATCTATTTCAGGGAAGCTTTTCAGAGAAGTTAAAGCTCTACTTTTGCTTTTCTAACACCTCCCAAAATTGCAGTTTAATCTTCGGGTCACCAGAAAAGTATCCAATTATTTTAAATAACATTGTCTTTTTAAATCAGATTCCTGTGCCTTTAATTAATGATGTATTGTTTAACTTCAACATTCAGTTGTAAATATAAATACATTTTTCCTTTGTCCGTTTATAAAAATGAACATATGTGGAAGAACTTATGACACTGAAAACAAGCACTTGGGAGAGACTGTGGATGGAAACAAGCAAAAAGTTGAGTCCTTCCATGTAGAAATTGACCTAGTTTCAGTCCACTACTAGGAGAGCAGCACAAGCTCAGAGAGCCTTTGTTGTTTGTTGTTTTCGTGTTACAATTACCAGTAACTTTGAATCAGTGACTCCTATTCTCATAAGACATTTTACTGATCAGAATCTTCTTATTTTGTTGAATTCTCTCTGACCTAAATTTTTGATTCTTTAAATTAGTAGCCTTTTAGCATTTCGGGAATCTCAGATCACTTTGATAATCTAGAAAGCAGTGGTTTGTCTGTCCAGGAAAATACAGATACACGTAGACACGCCAAATCTAGCATACAATTTTGGAGAGTTCAAGAATTGTTGAACCTATTTGAGGACACATTATTTTAAAGAGCTTGATGATGACCAATGTGTTTTCACCAAACAAAATTATAATGTTATCTTTAGGCAAAACCTCTTTAAGAACATTAAGTTATATCAAATGTTTCTATGGCTCAAACATTTTAACAGTTTCCATCCATGGATCAAAATATAGAGTAAATAAGTGAACCAAAGCTAACTACATTAATAAAGTCAGACATGGGCATAAAGCTCTTCAGACACACAGCCACCTGCACATAAAGAGATACACTATCAATATTTCCTTACCAACCTGTGGTAGTCATGCTGCTGAAGTAGTGCCTCAATCTGAATTTTACTAAACTAGATTAAATAACATCCAGTTTTCTGTAATTTGAACAGCCTAGAGATAGTGTGATGGATCCTTAGGTTTTTAAAATGATAAATCAAGCATTTCTGTTTTCTTTCCATTGATTTTTGCCAAAGGAAATTAGGATGTGTTTTTATAGGGTCCTCTACAGCATATTCAATATCAAAATGCAGAAAATGTCCTTGATGTTTAAGCCCCTTTATTCGTAGTGAAGATAATCCTGTTTCTGTTTAATCTCTTTATTTATTAGCTTTCATAGTTGCCACTAAATATTTCGAATCGCTTCCAAATTTCTTGGTCTATAATTACATTTCTCACCCAACTGAGAGATGTCGTTTGCTTTATCTGTTTTACAAAAATGCATTAAGTACCTTAAGATCCTTTAAAACAAGATATCACACATGTGTCAAAATATAATTCTCAAAATGTTACGCATAATTCTCATATAAATAGTTACAAAGCACATGTCAAGATTTAATTTAGCTCAACCATCAGGATGAAAAAAACAATTTAAAAAACTAGAATATATTTATATATATAGAGAGAGACTATATGTAATATATATATATATATATATTTCTCTACATATTATATAGTATCTCTGTATCCATACCTATATGGATATATTCATAAATAAATATAAATGATATATATTATATTCATAAATATAGATTTTGATTGCATTCCTGAATGAGACCAATTTTTCCTTTATCAGTTATTTAATTCACAGCATTCGTTTAGCGTAAAACTTCATATACTCAAGGTTTCTAGTTTACAAAGATGAATCACTTTTGTTTCGTAACTTTAGGTACTTTCATATACATCCTCAGACTCATCTGAAAGACTTGTTAAAACACATTGCTGGGTTCCACCCCTAGTGCTTCTGTAGACCTGGGATGGGACCTGGGAATGTGTGTGCCTATGTATGTGTGTGTGTCTGTGTGTGTGTGTGTGTGTGTGTGTGTGTGTGTGTGTGTGTGTTTGTTTTATTATACTTTAAGTTCTGTGGTACATGTGCAGAACATGCAGGTTTGTTACGTAGGTATAAATGTATATGCGTGTAGGAATTTGTGTTTCTGACCAGTTTCCAGCTGATGCACATTTTGAGAACAAGTGATTTAACTCCAGGCTTTGTTTGCGGATCAAGCAGGGCAGCAGAGAGTGTTGATTAACTCCCAAGAAAGTCAGTACAACCTCTGATTGGCTCCTTATTACTTCTTCTATGTTATTCCTGTTTTCTTGTCCTGTCCCCTCTGTACCCACAAGATCATCCACACCTGTGGCGTCAGCTGCCAAGTCTTTATCGCTGCCAGAACAGCTGCACTCCAGTGCTGCTCCCTACCTTTGAACATTTCAAATCCCTAATAAGGGCCAGACTCCCAGTGTCTTCCCCACAGAGACCCGGCCTCCCTCATTTGTCCCATTTCTGTCAGTGATTTCAATTCCATTGCAAACCAGGGCTAGAAGGCTCCAAATCACATGTTGTAAACTAGAAGGTGCATTTCTCCCTCCCCAGTTATCATTGGTAGGCTTCTCTTAGTAGAGAAAATGTTTAATTTTTAGAAGTTTGGAATCCTAAAGAGATTCCTTTCAATTTTCAATCTGCCAGTTATCTGTCCTGTTCCTCGGATGTGGCCTTAATTCTTTATAAGAAATAAAAGCTTCCGAGACTCCAAGGAAGTTTGCTGAGAATTGTAGTAAATCAGAGACGCAAGCCAGTCCTGGCAGTCTCTTGGAAGGGCAGCTTTGGAGGACTGAGAGGTCAGGGCCCAGGCTTCTAAAGGTTACGCCTGAGATGTGTAAGTGAGACTTGGAGGCAGGAGATAATAAATATAAGCTTCAGGAGTTTGGAAGGCCAAGAGAGTTTAAGAAGATTATCAAAAGACATTACAACTTCAGTTTCAGCTTCTCGGGAGGCTGAGGCTGAAGGATCACCCAAGCCCAGGAGGCTGAGGCTATGGTGAACCATGATCACGCCACTGTACTCCAGCCTGGAAGACAGAGTGTGAGACCCTGTCTCAAAAAATAAATATAAATAAAATTAAAATTTAAAAAGGAATGTAACAAGATCAGCTGAGGGGAATTTGTTTTGGAAGAGAGGAAACTATTGAGAGCAGAAGAATTGATGGGTGGATTTGAATAATGCTACAGAAATAAAGTTCGAAAGAAGAAAGAAAGATCATTTAGAGACTAAATCAGGTGGTTGGCTTTGGAGAGAAGGTAAATATTTTTATCCAAGCCCAGAGGAAAGAACGATGGCAGTTATGTCAGTTGGCCTTGAGGTTAAATAGGAGAGGGGTAATTGGGAGGTCATGAAAATGCTCAGGTAGATGAGTACACTGTGCTCTGGGTGAGTGTTGGGCAGAGTGATTTTGCCATGGGTCCACCTGCTGCTGCTTTCCTTCCTTGTCTACTCCTCTGTAATTGAGTTCAGTAAAGAAGGCTGAGGTTAGGATGACCTCCACATGTGAGGTTGATTTTCTTTGTTTCCATGTAGATGAACAGCCCCTGGGTATGGATGGCTGCTTCTTTTCCTCACATACTGTAAGTCCCATGTGGCCAGTAGATAACCTTTGATTTGTTCCCATTCTGTGCCAGTGCCTTAGACCTGTGTGTCAATGACAGCCAGCTGTCACTAGTTCCTTGGCTTCCCAAAGGGAAAGAAAGAAATTCCCATAAGGAAGTAAATGTCCCAAATTAGATTATTTTTATTGAATGGAATAATTGAAAATGTTGAATGGGATCATTGACAACCTCCTGGTAATTTTGTGGGGGAGTTATTTTTAAAAGTTGTATGTGAAAGACTTTCAAAGCAGAGCCCTTCTTTCTGTTTCTAGAGAAAAAAAAATGTGATGTGGTCTTCTCACCAGTGCTTTGTGTAGGAAGGGATGGCAGAATGCCGAGGGAGGGAAGCCCGTCAGGTTATTGAAATGGAGCCACTAGAACGTGTGTGTCTCTTTCCAGGACCATGAAACCTCCTTCCCCAGGGCTCTCTCAGCACAGAGGCTCTCCCCTCGGTGGTGCTTCCTAGATGGTGAGTTCTGCATTTCTTGGGGGTATTGCGGGAGGTGGGGAAGTTGAAGAGCAAGGCGTCAATTGATAGGGTGGACTCTAGTTTTCCGAAAGATTATTCAGAAAGCCTTCATGTGAATTCCTCCACATGGTTGATATTTTCGGGCTGAACGACGTGGGCCTGCTGATGTTGCTCTGTCCTTTCCTGAAGTCATTTCCCTCAAGGCAGCTTGGTTAACTCTGGCTGAACTCAGCACCCACTTGCACAGGCTGATGTTTCTCTATCATCAGCCCTCTTTTCTTAAAACTTGAATGCCTGCCTTAAATTAGTTCAGAGCAGTAGCTGGATTCTACAAGCATAGGATGGATACTAATTTCTATGTTGTTTGCATCTTACGGAACATTCATAGTATTTTTATGAGACCATTATTTCAGTGTGATGTGTACATTTCTGGGAGAAGGGCAGAAAAATTCAGTTGCATTCAAATCTGCTTGACTCAGCATAACATATCCATGCATAATAGGTTAGTTATTTTATGATTGTTTAATGAGTCCATTTTTTACCTCAAACATCTCTCTCCTAGATGCTGCGTAATACTACCTTTCTATCCAATTACCCATATCGCAGTATCTTCTCACCTCTGTATATTCATGCTTACATACTGCCCAATGTATCTGCTACCTGTTCTCTCTCTTGTTCAGATGGAGACATGTTCATTGTAGACACCCTTGCTTTTTTTTTTTTTTATCTGTGTGAACATCTGGGAGGATATAAATGTGAATAAAAGTATGACAGGATGTGTGAGTGTATGAACAAGCATTGGGATGGCAGCAGCAGAGATCTATTAAGATTTAAGGACCGTCCAGTTAACTGGCAGCAGAAGAGAAGGGTATAACTTTGATGCCAGATCACAGAACATTTTGAATGCCATATGCATATTTTTCTAGTGTTATGAAGATGGGCACTTGTATTTATATGAGATCTAACCCATATAAATCATAATGCAGGTTTTTGTTAATGTCTCATGAGCTGTCTCTGAGAACTTTCCTCCACCTTCTTTATTCCATAGCAGTGAGAAACATAATCATTTGTCATTTCTGAATTTGCAGAGGAACAACTTATATTTCAGAAAATTATGAAAATATGTTCTATCTAAAGTCTTAGATAAAATTATAGCTATTGTGGGTAACAGTCTTAACCCAGATAGTAATTTTATTCCATAGTTTTATTAAACCTTTTAAAGGTAATTGCAGTCACGGTTTAAGGGAACAAAGTAGAGTGAATTTCTCCAAGGCAGATTTTATTCTATTCTTAGATTTTAGAGAGCAGGGACCATAATTGGCTGGTTTCTTAGTTCAGTTTCTTTTGGAGAGAAGCTACTCATTAAATGTTTGTGAATTTTAAATAATTACTTGCTTTTTGAGTTTTTCTTTCTTGTGCTATGTTTGTTTTGTAGAAAATCTATTTGTGATATCTGGGCTTTGTAAGATAGATTTAAGTGAGAAGCACATAATTCTTTGGTTTGCTTTTCTTTTCTTTTTTTTTCTCTTTTTTGAGATGGGAGTCTGACTCTATCACCTTGGCTGGAGTGCAGTGGCATGATCACGGCTCACTGCAGCCTTGAACTTCCTGGTCTCAGGCAATCCTCCCGCCTCAGCCTTCTGAGTAGCTGGGACCACAGGGGCACGCCACTATCCCTAGCTAACTACAAAAATTGTTTTTGTAGATATGAAGTCTTACTTTGTTGCCTAGGCTGGTCTCAGACTCCTAGCTTCAAACAATTCTGCCACCTGAGCTTCCCAAATTGTAGCCAATAATTCTTTCTAATATTAAGAATATTCAAAATAATTTCTAGAAACCCAAAGTTTGTAGTTCAGATTTTTTCCCCCACACCATAGATACAGCTCAATTTCTTTTCCGAGAATGCTTAAATAATTTTTTTTTTTTCTGTGTTGGCATCCTTCAGACATGATGCTAAGGATGCAGGTTGAATATGAAATGATTCATTTAAGACCACATACAGTCCCTGGCCTAAATCTTCAAGCCGTTTTCCAAAATGAGAAATCACTTCCCTTAGAAGTCTACATAACTATAGTGTTTTCTAGCTTTATTTACTTAATAAAAACATACCAAGTGCTACCTTTCTTTATGATCCTGTGCTAATTTCAGGAGGCATAAAAGATTAAATGAAACAGATTTTTAAAGAGAGGTAGGTCTGGCCGGGTGTGGTGGCTCACACCTGTAATCCCAGTACTTTGGGAGGCCAAGGCAGTTGGATCACAAAGTCAGGAGTTCGAGACCAGCCTGACCAACATGGTGAAACCCCGTCTCTACTAAAAATACAAAAATTAGCCAGGTGTGGTGGCTTATGCCTGTAGTCTCAGCTATTCAGGAGACTGAGGCAGGAGAATCCCTTGAACCCGGGAGGCAAAGATTGCAGTGAGATGAGATCGTGCCACTGTATTCCAGCCTAGGTAAGAGAGTGAGACTCTGTCTTTAAAAAAAAAAAAAAAAAAGACAGATCTCTTAGTCTTATAGTTATCTGTGAAGATAGTTTGTATAAGAAATTTTTAAAAATGTAAATGTGCCTGGAGGCAGATGTAATACATTCTGGCTAGGGTAGGGAGGTTGGAACTGAGAAAGATTTCACAGGGGCACAAGTACTTGAGCTGGTTCTTTAAAGACAAGTACGATTTATATGGCAGAGGCAATGGAAAGGGCTTTCTAAGCCTTAGAATAGCAGTGGCAGAGGCATGAAAGTGCTGAGGTTTTCTTAATAAATTTAGGGACTGGCCAGGAGATTAGCATGACTGCTGTGTAGGGGTTTTGACCAGCATAGTTGAAGAGAAGGTTATAAATTTGGTGCCAGATTACTGAACATGCTGAATGCCATATGTATTTTTTTCCCTAGCAACTTCTGCTGATCGCTTTTATCGAATAGACAGATCTCAGGTAAGTTTTCTTCCAGCCTGCTTGTGAAAGTGAAAAATTCCCAAGTTCATATACTTTATTGGTAGCTAATCTCATAAATTTTTCTAATGAAAAACACTGAGACATTTACACATTTCGGAGTGGGGTTCATAACCTAAGCTGTGAACCTTTTATTTATCTTCGTGTGTTTTATGATTTATGGACTCAAGATGATACAGCTTGATCTTGCAAATGAGTACAGAAAATAAGTTGACTTGTAGACATTATCATCAGCCTGTACTCCAAATGTTCATTCACACGGATATTTTTACTCCTTCTTAGCGAAATTTTATGTCTTTTTAAGCTCATTTCTGTTTAGCAAGTTTGAGGTCCCGAGTGTATACCTAGGCTACTTAGTTTCAGTTTGCCAAGCCCTACAGGTCAGTGATGAGAAAAAAAAAAAAAAAAAAAGGCTTATTCAAGGTCACAAGTCCTCCCATTATCTGAATTCTCCGAGAAAAATAATGTACAGTGTTGAACCCAATAATAAAGCCAGTTGTTTACCATGCTGCTTAGCTTTGACCAGGTCATGGGGTGGAAGTCCAGGCTATCATACACTCCTGCTGGACCACATGGCATGTGGGTATCACTTCTCTAATAGTATTTGGGAAGGAGATGAGTCAAGACCATTTCTAGATATACCTAAAATAATTGGGCTGGGCGCAGTGGCTCATGCCAGTAATCCCTGCACTTTGGGAGGCTGAGGCAGGTGGATCACGAGGTCAGGAGATCAAGACCATCCTGGCTAACATGGTGAAACCCTGTTTCTACTAAAAGTACAAAAATTAGCTGGGCATGGTGGCAGGTGCCTGTAGTTCCAGCTGCTCTGGAAGCTGAGGCAGGAGATTCCCTTGAACCCAGGAAGCAGAGGTTGCAGTGAACCAAGATCATGCCACTGCACTCCTGCACGGGTGACAGAATGAGACTCTGTTTAAAAAAAAAAAAATCCTAGTTAATTGGAAATCAAGGAGATTCATCTCTCCCTGTCTCCCACTGCCTGCCATAGGACAGCTTTGAGGAGGAACGCCAACCAATCAAGCTTCTGGCAACACACTGTGATCCTTTGACACGTTGAAGAATTTCATTATTCCTGGAGACCCAGAATCCTTGTTTTGTTATTCTTCATGCAACAGACTTCTTGTTCTTCCTTAGGAACATTTGCACTTTGTGATGGAGATTTCCCAAGATGAGATTTTTATTCTGGACCCAGATATGGTGGTGTCACAGCCAGCGGGGACACCTCCAGGCATGCCTGACCTGGTGGTGGAGCAAGCCTCGGGGTGAGTGTGCTTCTCCTTGCCTGTGAGGCTGGCCTTAGGGTGACATTGTGTCTAGTTTGCCTTTGAACTTGCTGTTATTCTAATGACATCAAACATAAAGATCTTCTTGTTGTGTTTCCTTAGAGTGGTTATTTTATAAGTCTGTCCGATGAATGGCTGTGTAGAAACACAAAACCAGATTTGCATCATGTCCAAGCCTTCTTTACCCATCACAGCAACACTTCTTAGCAAACCTGGAAAATACTGGTACTTGTGTTTCTGCTTATGTGTTTGTAGTAACTCTGTTATCCACATAAAAAATGGATACAGATGATTTGACAGTTTTTCTCCTCTTCCTCCTCTTCTTCTTCTTTGCTATTTCCAGGCTGCTGGAGACATGTAGATTGTATAGTAATAACTATGACATACCAAATGCTTTTTAGGACCTCTGTCCTGTGCCTCTCTTCTATTTCTACCACCACTTCATAGAGACTTGATCATCTTAAGTGCTCTGTGCTTATTTTCTCATCTGTAAAATACAAATAATAATAACCCTCACTCAGAGAACTGTTTAGTGATTAAAAGAATTGATACAGGTAAAGCACTTAAAGTCATTCCTGAAATTTTAAAAACAATCATTAAATAGAATGTTATTAAAGTGATAATCATCATCATAATGCCACAGTGACCTTGAACATTTGGTACAATTATCTTTAATTCATAGATTAAAAAATTGAGACCTAAAGGGTTATTTTACTTGCCTAGTATTTCACAGAAAATAAGTAGAAAAAATGAGATTCAGTCCTGGGTTACCTGATGCCAGAGCCCATGCATTTAACTACCACCTTGCACCACAAAACATAATTAAGATTTCTAAGTTATTTCAATAATTCAGAACTATTTATTTAGAGAATTTTGTGTGCCAGGTCCCAGTGTAAGCACTTGGGGTGTAACAGTGCAAAAGTAAAAACAGATAAAAATCTTTGCCCTTGTGAAATTTAGTGTTTTGGGGCCTGAATTGTTGAAATAAGAATTGCTCTAGAAACCATACACAATGTACCCAAATAGTAAATGCACATCATCTACACCTACTCGTACAGTATGAATGAACGGGCCACTAGGTAAGCAAACTGCAATGTAATCTTCGTCCCTGTTTTCCCTTGTTATTTGATTTACTCTTTTCACTTTTTTTCATTCACTGCTGCTATTTGTGAGTGGTTTCCCACTCTTCCAGGGCCAGCTGATGTCCAATATGTACCAAGTCTGGGGGAGACAAGAGAGGGCACAAGTGGCTGTGTGGAACAGATAAAAAGCTGTTCTCAGGAAGCCAGAGCCATGATGTCAGAGCATGAGGGGAAGGCCGAGAGGCACAAGGGGTAGCCTCATGCACCCCTGGGAGCCTCAAAGGTGGTGGGGAAAGCCACCTTTGCAGGGCACATCCATATACCAGACCCATCAGTTGTGGGGAAAGGAGGTACAATGTTTTGTCCTACTGCAGAAACAGCAGGTGCTGGAGTCTGGGTGTCCTCCTACCCCACCTGATCTGGGCTATGTCTTTTGATATGGTAAGGAGAAAATTCATTCTTCCAAGTTGCCCTGGTCTTTGCTCACTCGGTCATTTTCTTCATATCAAATAATAGCCAAAAGGAATTGATTTAGGCCTGGCTAGAACTCTGTTAGCTCTAACTTTAAAAATTAAAGTAGCCTGAAAATCCACCAGGACTTGAATCAGTGCTTTTCTTATTTCTCACCAGTTTCCTCCCTGAAATAAACCAGGAACAGGGAAGCAGTGAAACAGGAAGGACTTTGTTATTTTCTAATCTGCATTTCTACAGTAGGTCTATTACTTCTTTTTCATGTCACATTTAAAATGACTTAATCTTGAAATTCCATTTTCTCATTTGTAAAGGGGACAGGATCATACAAATAGTTCATGATTGTTGAGATAAATGAATGAAATAATAAATGTGTAGTATCTGGTAAATGCTCCATAAAGATGAATTTTCCTTCTCACATTTACAGGCAAGATTCATCTTCAGAAAGTGAAGACTAAGCCACGTGGCTGCCTTTGAATGCTTAACTGTCTGGTACCCTTCTTTCTCTCAGGATCTCAGACTGGTGGAATCCTGCCCTGCGGAAACGCATGCTGAGTGACAGCGGGCTGGGGATGATAGCTCCCTATTATGAGGACTCAGATCTGAAAGATCTCAGCCACTCCCGCGTGCTACAGTAAGAGTTCTCTTGCTGTTCTTTTCCTCTGTGCTACTGTGATTGCTGGGAGAGGATGGACTGTGGGCTGTGCGCCAATGGGCAGGATTGTCTTTTCAATGGCGCACAGGCTGTCTCACATAGGCGCTGCTTTGTGTTTGACCCTCCATGCACCTTGCTTACTTTTATCTGCCCCAAACTCTTCATGGAGCTCCACCTACCATTTCTCTTGCTCCTGAGCCACCTTGAGCTCCTCGCATGTGAACCTCTACATACTTTAAACCTCACCAGTGTCTTCTTTACTGGAGCCTAGTATTTATCAGATGTCCCTGTTTGCCACATCATAAAGACATGCATGAGAGTGATCAGGAGTAGTTTGAAAGTGATGCGTGTTTTTTTTATTTGTGAACACTTTATTTTGCTGTTTCATTTGTCCTGGGCCTGTGCACGTGTGCCCTACCCAATATTGCCACATGGCTTTATAGGCTAAATCTGAGTGCTGTCCCTGTGGCGGTTGCAGTCTCTGTGGGTGAGCAGTACAGCGTTTGTTCGTAAATCAGAACGCTACGCTTTCTTCTGAGATCTGGTCATGGTGAGAGAGTAGGATGCATGCTGGAGTTCTGCATCAGTGTTGGTACCTTTGTGCTCGGTGAATCCACCTTCCTGTCATCTCCCCTGGTGACAGATGCACTCTTGCCTACATACTCTTTAATTTCAGTCTACTCACTCCATTTTAGAGGTTATGTGCATGAAATTAGGCTGGTTTCCAGTTTACCTGGGGTCTTAATCAAATAGTGACAATGGCCTTGTAACCACACATTCTTAGCCTTTTGATAGAATAACAAGATTACTAAGATTCTTAGAAGCCTAGGGTTAACTAAAGAGGTAAGGAAGTGCTTTGTTTCTGAAGAAAGACTAGAAGCAATTTCAATATTACAAAGGGAAAAAAGTGAAAAATTTGGCTCTAATTATTTCATTGGCGAAGGTTCAAAGCACACACCCTGAGGGCAAAAGGAGACTTCATTTTAATTGCTTCTCTGTATTACCTCTTACTTTCTTGTGTGAAGAGGGGAAAGGAGCAAAAATGAATTACTATGGATTTTTCTTTTTAATTAAACTGTGTTGTTACTTTCCGATGGCATTTTGATTGCTTACAATTCAGGGTGTTTTTCCATTTCCTTTTTTTTACAGAATTGAGGCTTGCAAACCAGGGTGAGTCAGCCACCCATGAATGGCTAAAAATGTGGCCATTTATCTGTGGGCAGACTTATTGGAAAATTAGAGTTTTAATTAGCTACAGAAATAGATATTAAGCCTAGGCAAACCAGATGAGTATATTATTTGTACTTGTATATAGTCTGTTTCCACAAGGCAGAATATGAGCTCACTCTAGTTTTCTATGTCCTGATTTTTCTATATATAACATACTGATGTACATATCATGATAAAATAATTGTATATAAGATAGTAAATATTCTTCCCAAGAATCACAAATAAATTTACCACTTTATATAATAGCTAGGTTCTTAAAACCAGATGTTAAAATCAACTCTTTTTGTTTGTTTGCTTGGGTTGTATTATCCTTTTAGGATTTATCTTAATCTTTGGTTGGTCTTCAATTGACAGCTATAAGTTTTCACAGTCATTTAGACTATTTTGCTTTATAATGCCCTAGAGTAGTAGACCCTTTTAAAAAATCCTGCAAAATTACTTTGAAAACAAGCAAAGTGGCATTCAAAGATTCGCCCCTAGTCTTTCAGCTTTTCCAGGTGAATCTCTGGACATTGTGGAACAAAAGACAAGTCATCAGCACTAGGCTCAGCCTGAATTCCTGTCTCATGGAAGATACAAGCATAATAAAATTGTTGTGTTAAATCACTTAAAAATAAAACAAAACTAAACTAGATGCCTAACCTCAACTTTTTAATTAATTCTTTAACTTTTAAAATTTTTGTGTCCATTGATTTCTTACAATATCTTTTTGTTTCCTTCAGACATCATCTCTGATATAAATAGTTATAATTATAGTTGTGGAAACATCTGATTATGTTAGTAATAACTACTATTGATGGAATACTTCCTGCTTGCTTTGTATCATAATTAAATTATCTTCTTTCAGCAATTTTTAAACTTAGCAGTTGCTTAACAGATAAGTAAACAGAAGCTCCTAAGGGGGTAAAATATTTTCCTTAGGTCACTTCACATGGCAAGTGTGGTTTGACCTGAGGTTGGCTTGACTTCTGACTCCATGCTTTTCCTATTGTACTACAGTATCTTCTCAAAGGGACCTTAAAAGTCAGTGTACCAGAGCCGCAGAGGTTTTCTTTGGTTTCTATTTCTTTTTTTACATTTGTAGGGTGAAAAATCCTACAATATAGGGTTACTATGCATGCACATTAAATATATAACTGCAAACTTACCCAAAAGCAAATATGGCCGAGAATTAATCTAAAAGCATTTTTTTTTCTTTAAAAGAAGAGATTAAAACAAAATATAATGGTGATAAACCTCAGTTTAAAAAATATGAAACATATATTAACTATGTTCTAATCCAAATAAGTATACAAATTATATAGAAGGCCATCATGTACCAACCACCCTGATTTATTATGTCATTGTTTTTCTATATTTGCATTAGGTCTTTCTTTCAAGCCTTAAACAAGAGAGTAGTGTAAAAAATATTGACTATTTTTTCATGGTTTTGTTTTGTATTGTTCAAGTTGGAGTCTCTCTAGTTGGAAAATCTGTAATCCGAAATGCTTCAAAATCCGCAACTTTTAAAGTACTGACATGATGCTCAAGGGAAATGCTTATTGGAACATTTTGGATTTCAGATATTTGGATTAGGGATGCTCAGCTGGTAAGTATAATGCAAATATTACAAAATCTTAAGAAAATCAAAAATCGGAGACAATTCTGGTCCCAAGCATTTTGGATAAGGGAATCTCAACTTGTATTTATTTTTCATTACCTGTGTTATATAATGCATGTATTTTGGAACTTGCCATTTCACTCAACATTATATTTTTGAAATTCATTCATATTGATATATGCGGATTTAAAAAAATTTTTAGTATAGAGTATTGCATCATATATATGCCATAAATTATTTCTCCATTTCGATATTGATTTTTAATATTCTATTATTTTTTAAAATGCAGCAAACATTGTGGGACATGTGTCCTCCTGTGTTGTAGAATATATATGCAGTCTCAGCTCACTCGATATTGCACAATTTACCTTCCCAGTAAGAATATTTATAAATCAGTAACTGAAAAGGCCCTGAACACTTATTTTAATAATCTCGGTATGATCAGCATCTGCTGCTTTAAGCTTTAAAGCCCCAGTCAATTTGGGAGGTAGGAAAGGTTCCATTTTGACATCCTGTTGTCAGTGCTAAATGACTCACTACATAAAAAGAAATCAAAAGAGAAACTTTCCATTCTTAGAACTGAAAATGCTACTTATTGGTGTTTTCAAGACACTGCTAATGTGGTATTTATAGAATGATTTAGGACCGTAAATTCATTTATCAAGGGAAAAATGATCACATGCAAATAAGCAAAGCATTCAATTTGATAAATTGGAAAAAGAATCCCAATGTAAAGAAAAAAGAAATGAGAAGGGTGAAAAATATAAAGATAATGAGAGAAATCAATGATAAGGAGAATAAAACAGACAGAAGATGAACCGAGAATAAAATTTTAAAAAATTATTTGAAAAGATAAATAGGACAAAATTCTGAGAAGACTGATTTAAAAGAAAAAAGTACTGAAAACAGAAAGAAATATACCCACAGTGCCTTCCCTATATCATTCTTCCTCCAAGGTACTCAGGGCACTTTGTGCCAAGCGGCCCTTTACCCTCCAAATTGCAACCGATCCACTCTGTTGGGTCTTCTCAGCGTTTTCTGATGGTTTTAAACTTTAAAATAGTCCCTTAGATCCATCAATTTCCCTTTTCACAGGCGGACTGAGAGGCAATTAATATAAAGAGGATGAATTCGATTTCTATCATTACTGGAACTGGCTGCATTTTCACCATAATTTTAAGGGAAGATATATACATGTTCACTTATATGCAGATCCTATAAGAAAGACTATAATTCCAAAATAGGGTAAACAATGTGTATAGCGCCTTCAAAACCTGAAATATTTAAGAACCAATTTTGAAATGAATTGATGAGAGATGGTTGACTGACATGATCACTGCTAGGACCATAATGATTTTGTCTTTAAGTTTAAAAAAATGTTTTCAGTGTCCAAGGAAGTTGTATTTAAAATAACATGATTCTGGAAATGTATTTGTTCTTATCAGTAATTGTACTACCACGATTCATGACAAGACTATATTTCATTTGGCAGAAGATTAATAAGGAGGGAATTAGCTTAAATTTTTGCAGGCCTAATCTATTTGAGTTGTAAGGAAGAATTTTGCCACTTGAGTATCTTTGAGATAAGAAAATAGGCATGGAATGAAAACTGTGATATATTCTTCTTAAGTTTTCTTTGAGAAAAGGACAGACTTGCCTTTGAGTTAGATGGGTTAAGAGCAGGCAGGTAAAGGGGCTAGAAGACAATGCTTTTGTTTCTGAATCAGAATAGTCTTTTTCCAGTTCTTAGATTTTGTGGTTTATGAGAAATCCCCAAATGACTGAAAGAGGTGTAATTTTTCTCAGTGTCCCCAAGCCCTAAGCCTGAAAGAACTAAAATGGACTGTCACGCAAATAATATCTTGCTACTAGACGAAGACACAGGGGAAACAGTGTAGTGAAACCACACATGGGGCAGATATTCAATCCGGATAACTGTGTCTAGGCAGGTATCTGCTACCCGATCAGCTACGCAGGGCTAATGGGTTTTTATGATTGGCAGGGGATTTCTGTCGACAAGAAAAGATAATGCTATCAAATGTTTAACTCTAATGTGTGAGGTCTGATTTGTGATTTCATTTGAATCCTAAGAAATATGGTGAACAATTCAGTTAATCACTTATTAAACAAATCAATATCGGACACCTTC